AAAAATGGGTTTTGTCCACTTCCCAAATCACAGCTGATCACAATGATGCCTGGGGCTATGGTGAGGTTGTCGCTGACGGCTTTGGGTTGCCCTATTCTATATATGACGACCATATTTACGTTGGAGTTTCTTCTCGCTCCTCGCTCAATGCCGATACAGAGAAATTTAAAGAAATCCTTTCCAAAACTTTGCTTTCAATGTCTGAATTGATCAAGAAGATCCGCGGCGATGGCTTTGCTAGCATGCCCTCATCCTCGCTTTGAGTTGACCCATAATAGAGCAGTAAACCATTTAATTTTGGGCAGGGTTAGGGTTAGGGTCGATTTTGGTTTTATTTACATTTGCTGCCGTCATTGGCGCATTGCATCGACTGTAGGACGTTGTGGAAAAAGCGATAATCACTCATGATAAAAGTCGGATTTGTTATACCTTGTGGAATGTCCAATTGCTTCAATAAGTGCATGTACTTTGACGAAAGCAAGGGATCGATGTTCTGGCTCGCCTCCAGCACAGTGTGATAAAGAAACGCAACAAACACGTTTAAATGGACCGATTCTTCCAACGTGGGAAAGTAATGAATAGGCGCTTCAAAGGAAAGCCTGACAAAGCGCTCAGCTTCTTCCAAAAATTTGGGGATTATTTTTTCTAGCTTGTAAAGAGCATATGTTGATGGAACTTTTTGCTCCGTGGTTATGCCATTATGTGGTTGACGAAAGTAGGTTGGATTTAGAGCGGAAAACAATCCAAGCCAATTGTCATATGTGGCCATCAAACTGATAAATGAATTTAAAATCCTCCAAGGCAAGGAAGCCTCAAGTTCGTGAACTTGAGCAAGTTTCTCAAGGGACCTCGACATAGAAACAAGGCCATTAACATTCCTCAAATCTAAGTAAAATTTACATCATAAATACTAGAAAAGTATCGCACCAGCAAAAACGAATGGTTGATAATGGAATGTGGAATCGACTCGTCTAGTGCCAGTGAAAACCAGTCGAGCGAGTCTATGAGACCAAATTGATCAGACGAAATATATCTAGTCCATCTAGAATGATCAAATGACAAGTTCAAAAAGGATAATTTTTTGTCACTTAGCATATGTGAAATGGAAGTGGAATCCTAAAATTATAAAATTGACTAACCCTAAACGGAAATAAAGAGACCAACTCAATAAAAGATCCAAGAGGAATAGTACTTTGCAGTCTATGGAAGGATAAAAGCAAATATCCGGGCAGCTCGGAAGGTAAATGAATAAAAGCCATGTTTAAAAGTTTACACAGCCATTCAAGCTGAAGGTCGTCAGACAAATAAAAAGTGCACGAAATGGCCTCAAAAAACTAGAAAAGAACCAACAAAACTACCTTTCTTTGCGTACAAAACTGGCCGATTTTTTGATCAAAAACAACATCAAGGACATGTTGGCTTTTTGGAACATTGAACCTCGATTCAATAAAATAGGACAACTCATCAATAGGGATGTCATGATATGACTTTGAAGGAATATCAAAATATTCCATTAAAAAATATTGCAATCAACCAAAAACTCTCCCTCGGGGAATCGAACCCCGGTCACCCGCGTGACAGGCGGATATACTAACCACTATACTAAGGAAGACATAGTTTCTGTTTTAAAAAGATATTTATTATAATTATTAACCTTTCACAGTTGGTTAGTATTTTTTCAATCAAACAGAGAATGATCCGGTATAGTGGACGAATCTTTCAAAGAAAACCAATATTAAGTTTTATAATTTAATTTCTCAAACTCATGAAAGTAGATTCAAAAAATATGCAAAGCATTGCTTCAAGGTCTGACATCGAAATCACAGATAAACTCATTAAGAATCTAAAAAGCTGATGTTTGATATTGGCCTCAATTATTTATTTTAATTGCAACGCATTAAGGCATCCCTCCAACAACTTGAAGAGGGCTTTTTTCGATCGTTTGAATCATTTCTAGGACCAGAAAAGGGCGATTTATCTCAAATATCCGACTTGAGCAGGCATCTGACTAACTGAAAGATAACATGCTTTAGCTGAAAATTAAAGAGGTCGATATGGTAGGAAGTTCTTTTGATCTTATTGCCGCCACTACTATCCGGGGTCAAAACCACCGTACTCATTTGGATAACGTCATTAACTTGCTTCAATATGATGATCCGTTTGAAAAGTTTCTTGTTCCCTTGCTGCCAGCTTGTATCTAGCCTGATTTTTCCCACACCCTCGAGTTCAATTTAGTTCTGATTCTGATCTATCCATGGCTCTTTACCTCTGACTTTGAACCGCAGTCAAATACCGGTACTGACTAGCCTGGGACCAAATACTCTATCTCCCATGATTACGTTTATTACGACATAAAGAATAGCAAGCCCAAAGTTTAATTCTAACCCTACATTGTGGGTTTCAGATATTTAATTTTCAAATTTATGTATTTAATTGACCAGTTTAGTAATTATCTAGCATCATGTTGCATTGGTGTGAAATTTATGGTACAAAAGGGTTTATATGTCTCGCATGATTTTTAACCCATTTCATACTTAAATGGAGATCCAAACGATTTTATTTCCCATCCTTATGATTTTACTTCCCACTACTTTTGTGCAATACACTACTGCAAATAACAACAAAAATAGTATATTTGACCTTCAATCTTGTGAAGTCGATCTTCATGACATTGATGATCTGGAAAACATTGTTAAAGAAGCTAGGAACAGCACGTTTCAAACTAATTTGGCAATTTCTTCGTTAAACTTCTTGATTGGAAATACAACTATAGAAATCCAAAAATACCTACCGAGCGTAATTAACTTCGAGAAAAATCATCAAGTCGATGAATTAGAACACCTGAAATCCAAACACATGAAGCAGTTATGTTTATTAAATTTCTTGAAAAAGCTTGAAAAATTTCCCTCCGAGCTAAAAGTACAACTCAAAAGCAAAATTTCTCTCGGACTCAACAACACCGCCAAAAAACCGCCAGCTTGGTAAAGCATTAAATTGAATCGCATACAAACATTTTTAAAGGTTTTCATCTGGGGCCCAATTAATATCGTAGACGCTCTGTTCTCTGAATTAACCCCCCCCCCCCATTATTTTCAGACGTCCTAAAAAATCCCAAGTACACAAAAAAAGCTAGATATATTGCAAAGAGACAGTTTTAAGGATAGTTTCTATTAACGAATGTAAAAAATCGAGGTAAGCCGCATTGGAGAAGAAAATTGGCCCAAGTACATATAATTTTTGTGGTAAATATCCCGTTTTGCTAAAATTGCGAGAATCCTCTGATTTGGGAGGTAAATTTGTTCCAAAATGGGCATTAGAGTTAGCCAATTCTCATCCAGACCGCTCGCTAGCGCTTTTTAGTTTCGTTAGATAAAGAGGCCATCGCAGAAGCTTTGAAAGGCCTTTGGAGCTTGACACAAGAAAGAATCGTTCGAAAAACATTTAGGATTTCCCTGATCGTATGGTCATTTATGTTCACAGCCATTTAAGCGTATCGGTCGTGATCAATCGGACACCCGCCTGCTCTAGGTCATCCTGGAGGTGGTACAATTGCCCTATAAATTCTTGATGGTCGTTATGGCCACTAGATTTTCGGAACCCGAGACTCTTTTCGATGGCATTGCCTAACCCAAACCTAAAAGTGACCTTTACCCAGGCCCGGGTGGGTGCGTACCCCTTTGAACTTACAAATGCCGTATTTGTTGTAAGCCGACGGCCGAGAGAGAAATGTTTGCGCTAATAGATGGATATATCTCATTTTCCTGCCTATCATAGCATTGTTACAAAAGTGATCTCTATTTGTCGTTATAAAGATTATTCATAGGCAACTTCGAGTTGGGCTCAAAATCAAATTTTAATACGTTTTTGGTAACATTTGTGGCCTGCAAGGCCCTATGCGCCATTAACGTCTGGTTTTTATCAATCATATTGATTCAAGTGCTAAAATAGAAATAAGCGATCAATTTACATGGATAACCTCGAGGATTTCTTCGGGGCAGTTTGTAAATGGCCAAAGCTCCATCGATTGCTAGCCCTTCAAGAGACAGACCCCAAAGATTGAAGTATCATCTTGCTGATTATTAGATGGGTTGTGTACTTTGATCGCATAGATCTTTAGAGCAATTTCGTTACTCTATGGATCCCGGACGGTTTGATTGGCTTTACAGTTTACATGAGAAAGTCGTTCAAAATAAAATTGCTTGAACAGCCATAAGTGACAAGCTTGACTCGATAGTGTCCATAAAGTCTGTTTCCGATTTTTTTATGCTGCCACATGATAACCATATGTTTTCTCGATTCGCTTCAACTCGGGCATGTTTGTGGATCCGATAGCTTGAAATTGCGTCCAACCGAAATAGTTTTAAAAACGGGTCATTTTTACTGCTTTTGCCGGCATGTGCTTGCAATTTAAAACCATTTTCTTGTGGATTAAAATTTTGAATATTTCCTCCAATTCAAATACCATCATCCTATTTGTCATCTTCATGAAATGACCAAAGAATCCATCGCCACTCATGGTACACATCGTATCCTCTTTCCCAAGTTATATAATAACATATCAGAGATACCGACCGATAGATCCAATAACACATGCTATCCGTTGTCTTCGATTACAAAAAATGCATTGACTGAATCAAACATTCAGAGGGTGATGGGATCGATTGCTACCCATTACCTTGAAAATCCAGATGAGTCTAAAAAATGGAAGGTTCAAACAAATGTTGAAACATTGGCATTGTCCGCACCATCGCAGCCTTTAGGTTCGTCCTTTTCATCGCTAGGTTCTTGCTGCACCTCTGCTTCGCCCGTTGAAAATATAGTATCAATAGATCCACAATCTTATGTTGACCAGATTTTAGCCTCTAGCAAAGAAGCCGAAAATTCGCCTCTCCCTTTGCTGTATTTTTCTTCCTTACCTGAATCAATTACAAATCCAAAAAAAGCTACCACTAGTGGCCATGTTTTTGCCAATACTGATTTTAACGCCAATTTCGATACTTTGCTTTGCTCTGAAGCTGAAGGCAAAACGAACATCTTTTATTTATTGAATGAAAGCAAAAGAAAGCTCGGCATTGATTTGGATTTTCACAATAATTTCCCATCTGAGCGAGATGTTGAAATTTTCCACACCTCCATTGCCAATGTTAAGCGGCAAAAGGTTGACTCGGAACCGTTGGGCAATTTATTTCTCAACAGCGATGAAATTCAGCAAAAAATCAGAAACTTTTATGCGCCACCAAGCACCATTGACGATAGCAGAGCGAACCAACTTTGCCGACAAAAACTGCCGCATTTTTTAGAGCCAAAAAGAGATGTTTTTAAGCCTATGTTATGTTCCATTATTCTTGGCGACATTTTCATGGATGTCTGGTATAACTCTCCCTTTCCAGCCGAATATGTCAATGCACCAAAATCGGCATTATGGATCTGTCCTTGGTGTCTTAAATATTGTAGTCTTACCATTAATGCGCAAAGACATAAGCAAAAATGCCATCTGAACCGCCCTCCTGGTAAGGAGATCCACCGTCAAGCAATTGATGATGGCAGCAGGCTTCTCATGCTTTTTGAGCTAGATGGCTCCAGGCATAAGCTTTATTGCCAAAACCTTTGTCTTCTTGCAAAATGCTTTTTAGACCATAAAATCTTATACTACGATGTTAATTCATTCTTGTTTTATGTTTTGGCAGAATATCAAACGGCCGATGATCGCCAGCATGGAGCGATGCGAATTGTAGGCTATTTTTCAAAGGAACGAAATGCAGATGTCCACAATAATGTCTCCTGCATAGTGATTTTCCCAGCATATCAGGGATTGCGCTACGGACAATATCTTATTGATTTTAGTAGGAAAATATATCTCTAAATTAGGTTATACTTTGACCAGAGCAGAGGGCCTCATAGGCGGGCCTGAAACTCCTTTATCAGATTTAGGCTTTTTGTCGTATTCAAAGTATTGGATGGAGGTATTAGTTTCAGAGCTTAAAGCCTACCTTCTATCAAAAAACGATCGGCCATTGTCGTGGACAAGTAATCTTTTGAACTTTATATTTAGATTTATCTAAAAAGACTGGAATCCACATAAACCACATCCTAACCACCCTTGAGTGGATGAACTGCCTGATGAAAGGCAGAGATGGGAAAATCTCTGTTGATGCAGATAGGCTGTTGAAATATCCGGATTCTTTGCAGGGGAAAACTAGGCCGAAGGATGAATTTCTGAGATGGAAAATTAAAAAAGTTAAAAAGTGTCACCTGTGGGATTTGAACCCACGCCCAATTACTCGGATAGCATCTTGAGTGCCACGTCTTAGACCGCTCGACCAAAGTGACATATGGAAAGGGTTAAAATGAACAACTAAATAAATTAGCTTACCTATACAAAAGATTGTTCAATTTATATTTTTCATATGCCTATTCCAAGAGTAAGCTCTCAAATTGTTGCCTCATGGATTAAAACACCGACTTTGAAAACAAAGCCACTGATTATAGACGTTAGAGATTGTGATTACACAGTAAATTACGTGATTTATTTTAGGATGTAAAAATACGATCGTCCTTTAACTTTCCATACGCCTCTTTTCAGAAGGATGGACTTCGAGAGCTGATGGCCCTCGTTAAGCAATCTGCGCCCGAAAAGGTTGTTTTCCACTGTCATCTAAGTCTTCAACGTGCAGTTTCTGCTTCTGAAATGTTTGCAAAGGAAATCGAGTCTGATCCATCGATAGACTGTGAAGTTTCCATATTGGATGGAGGCATCTGCGAATGGAAGGCCTTGTATGCCTCCGATCCAATGCTTACCGTAAAACTTTAGAATTAAATTGTTTAAAAATTAAAGTTATCAGGCACCTAAATCCTGTCCCTTTTACCCTTTTTGATTTTCATCCATTATCGTTAGAACGTTGATATTAGATTTATGTCGTTTATTGCCTTTAAGCCTGAAAATGCGTTGAAAAGAGTGGAAGAACTTATCCTTGTCGGCCAGTCGTCGCTTGCATTTCAGAATTTACATGACTTGATTATGTCCAAGCGCCTCAGATATAACCAAGTAAATTACGAAAACATCATGCTTCGGTATATAACACTTGCGGTGAACATGAAAAAAGGAAAAAATGCAAAAGAGGCGCTCACGCAATATAGAAACCAGACTCTGTTCTCTAACCTTAGCTCCTTCGAGCAGGTGATGCTGAAGTTTGTGGAGAGCGCTGAAAGCAAAGTACCTTGTGATCTCCATGTTGCATCCGAGGTAGAGGATTTTGATTCTTCAGATACGCCTGAATCGGCTATTGAAAGAATTCTAAACGGTGAAGATGAAGCAGACTCTGGATTCGTCAACACACCAGATTCTGAAGATTCGTCCACTACAGCAATTCGCTTTCTTTGGGAAGCATATAGAATTTCTTTAGACATTGTGCGAAATAATACAAAGCTTGAAGTGTTTTACCGCTTTGTAGCGACCAAAGCATTTGAATTCTGCGGAAAGTATGGCAGGAAATCCGAATTTCGTCGTCTTTGTGACGTTTTGAGAAACCACCTGTCTCAAATCATAAAGACCATTCCATCGAGCATGTCACACAGTGGGATATCTCTTCTAAACCAGGAGAGCATGATTATGCAAATGCAGATCCGGTTTACGCAGTTGAATACGGCGATTCATCTCGAGGTTTGGCCGGAGGCATTCAAATCAATCGAAGATATTTACGAGCTTCTGTGCATCAACAAGAAAGGCATTGTGGACCATCAACTGATGATCAATTACTATGAGGCATTGACGAAAATCTTTCGTGTGTCAGGAAATTCTCTGTTTCTTGCAGCCGCTTGGAATAAATATCTGTCATTTGTTGGCTCGCAATCGGAAACGGTCCCACAGGCAAAACTGCAGGAATTGACCACCTGCACGCTCCTATCCGCACTTTCGGTTCCCATTCATATCTCCTCGAATTCGCCGTTTAAGGACCTTCTCAACGAGTCGGCAATGGACTACCAGGAATCTCAGTTATCTAGAGATTCAAAAATAACGGCCATGATGGGGCTCTCGAAAATCCCTACCAGGGATCAACTGATCTCCGAGGCCTCATCCTTGCACTACTGGAACCATGTGGATACAGATGTTAAGGTCTTATACGAGATTTTATCTGCTTCTTCGGAAACGGAGTCTCCGTTTGCGATCAGCGAAAAGCTACTAGCCACTTTATCTCGGCTCAACTCGAAAAAGGTTTATGTTCAGTTTATGCCGATTGTCCAAAAGACAATATTTTCGTCCCTTTTTGAGAAAATCATCACCAGTTTGCCGCAAATTTCTTTCGATGATCTTTTGACGATCTCATCAAATATTTTCCTCTCCAAAATCTCTCTCTTTGATTTGGAGATTGCAGTTTTGCAAGAGGCTCAGCACTATTCTCAATCTTTCAAAATATTAATTGACGATCTCACTCGCACCTTTTACATCAGGCCCGTCTTTGATATCGACTCGATTTTGGCACCAGTTTTTGAGCCCATTAAAGTGGACCTTTCGGACGCCGCTTTGGCCTCTCCGCTTGACGAAAATTCTGTGCCGGAAAGCAACAATTTAGGGTCGATTGAAGCCCAAATTTCGTCAATTCTGCCGTTAAGATCCGCGGCGTTTACTCCAGAGTCTATCTCAAACCTGAGCAAGATGCTTCGTGAAATTAGCCTTGCCCTTCAGCATGAGCAATATTTGATCCAGCTTAATAAGGAAATCATTGCTCAAAATAAACAGACTTCAGAGGCCGTGTCCAAAGCAAAGGAGCTGAAAGAAGCAGCTGAGCTTGCCGAAAAGGCTAGTGTAGAACAGGAGTTATTCCGTGCCCAAAGAGCCGAACTATTAGAAGCGCATGAGCAGGAGCGAAAAAAAAACGAGCTTCTTGAAATTCAACTGCTGGAAAAGAGGAAGCTTATCGACCAAGTGGTTCAGAAAATTTCTGGCTACGGCAAGACTATTGATCCAAACACACTTTTATCGATGTCTCGCGAGGAGATCCTTAGGGTGCAAGCAGAATTGCTGGCTGAAGGAAAAAGAGAGGTGGAGAAAAAGGTATCCGCCATTGCCAAAAGAATGGACCATTTTGAGCGCGCTCTGCGCCAAGAGGAGCGACCCATTCTCACCAAAGATTATGAGGCCCAACGCATCCTCGATCAAGAGAGTCATGTAATTCTTAATGAAAAAAAGCGCGCTTTGGCAGCTGCTAAACATGCCCTTCAGATGGCCACAATCAAAAGTGCCGTTCTGCGTCAAGAAGAGGCCTCTTCCTATTTTGAGGCATTAAAACATGCACGTACGGCAGCAATTAGCGATGTTGCCGAAAAAATGGCCAAGGATCTTTCTTTAGCCAAGGAGGAGCGTATTGCAAAGGCCACCGCAGCTTTGCTTCAGAAAAAGGCAGATGAAGAGTATATTTCCAAAAAGCGGGCCCAGGAGGCAGAGGCCGCTGCTCGCTTACAAAAGCAGCAAGAGATGCAGCGGGCGCGAGAGGCTGAAATTGAAGCCAAGCTTGAAAAGCAGCGATCCTCGATCGGCAGTGCATCAAGCCCCTCTTCAATCCCAACCCCAGCCCGTGCATCAACCACCGGTTACAAGAAGAAGCATTATTATTAAATTGACAAGTTTATGTAGCGAGCTAATTTTAAACAAATGCCGGAGCGGGCTTTAGAAAGATGCTGTGGAGCTTTCTGCAGGGCCCGAGCGGCATTGGCTCAATAAGTCCATGTAGAATTGACAAGAGGAGGAATCCCCTTCTTTGTTGCGGTCCATGCAGGCAAAAAGCTGTGCGAGCTGTGGCTGGCAGCTTGCTTCGATGCTTTTGAAAGGCTCTTCAGCAGGAACAGAGCTACCATTACCCATGACCATGGATGCGGCGCCACTAAGTGCCCTGCCAAGAACATGGCCAACCGCCACGCCCGTAGCTGTTTCGGCAACGCGCGCCAGAAAGCCCTGCGCGGGCTGGGATGCCATGGCTGCAGAGGCTGCCGCAGGCTTTGGGGCTGGGACCGGTGCAGATGCTGGCCTTGCGGCCGGCGCTGATGACGATCTTGCCGACGTCGATGCGGATCTTGAGGAGGCTCTTGATTGTGCGGCAGGCTGTTTCCTTGCCATTTTAAAATCGCATTTGCATTTCAATTGTTTTGAGTAAAATTTATTTCAAATTTTTAAACCGTAAATTTCAGTTTTCATGGAGAGCCTCCCTGCCGATATGCGCTCCACACTGCCACCTGGTGCCGACGCAGACGTTGACGAGTTCAAGGCCTCGTTGATGTGCGCAAAGAAAAAATCAAAGCCAAAGAAGGCCATGCCTGCCGAGATGCAAGAGGACCATCTTATGTCATCGGACCCGCTTGGCCAGAAAAATACGCATGCCCCCATGGCTGCAGACGTAGCGTCGGTAGCCCAAGAGCGGGATGCAAAATATGCAAAGGTAAGCCGCACTTTAAATTTCTAGCTACTTAGCCGGATATTCACCATCCTACGCGAGCAGAATCCTGAGCTGTCAGGCGATAGGAAAAAGTATTCCATCGTCCCTCCGAGCATCCACCGTGAAGGAAACAAAAAAACCCTTTTTGCTAATCTTGCCGAGATCTGCAAGCGAATGAATCGCCCCCAGGAGCATGTGACTATGTTTCTTTTTTCTGAGCTTGGCACGACAGGCTCCACAGATGCCAAGCAACAGTTGATCATCAAGGGCCGTTTCCAACAAAAGCAGATTGAAAACGTACTCAAGCACTACATTATGGAATATGTGACATGCAAGACATGCAAGTCGCCCAATACCATCCTGAAACGGGAGCACCGGCTCTTCTTCCAGCAGTGCGAAGCCTGTGGCTCGACGCGTTCCGTATCAGCAATCAAGACGGGCTTCAAAGCACAAACAGAAAAGCGCGCCTCGCAGCGCAACCGGGAAGCATCCTAATTAACGTATTCAGAGTCAAATAAATAGCGCCAATTCCAAAGATGCTGTAGCATGCAAGGGTTTAATGCATGCAAATGTAAACGGAGATCTAAGTGGAGGTGGAGCAGGTTCCACACTAAAATTTACAAATTACAATTGCGCCAGCGCGCTGTTGCCATTTACCATGGTACCACCATGATGCAAGAGCCCAGGATGAAATGTTAGCCAAATTGCAGGAGATAATCTAACCCTAAATGTAAATTAGGTTGCAATCATTAATTTTAAAGAACAATTTGAGCCAATTCCCGCCACCAATGATGATGATCCCTGCACCCACTGACCGGGACAACTCTCATTTTCTTTCTACTGCCATTGGACGTCGGGTTCCACTTGCTAAGCGAACGCCAACGCGACAGCGCCAAGCGCCAAGTGCTCTTATCAATGGCGCTGACTTGAGCTTCCTGGACGACGCTTCTTCAATTACCTCCATCGCTATGGGAGATGTGGATATGCCACCGCAGTTAACGACAGTTCCATTGCCATTTGCCGAAAAAAATATGGAAAGTGCACTGCTTTCTGACGAAGCCGAGATTTCGCTGATCCTACCATCAGGCACAACTCCAGAGCAACCCATAACCGCTAATGGTGGCCTTCTCAAGGAGCAGGACCGGGCACTAGATGCTTCAAAGCGCGAAATTTTTGCCTTGAAGCTCAAGATCTATCACTTGGAAGAGCGATTACGTCGCTTTGCTCAGCCTGCGGAACCTTTGCACCAACAGCTTGAAACACAGAACCAAAAACTAGATGCCCAAAGTCAAGAACTAGCTGCCCTCACTCGTCGGAACGAGTCATTGGCGATGGAAAATTCAGCACTAACCCATGAAAACTTGACGCTTACCCAAAAATTTTCTACTCTGGCTCAGGAAAGATCCGCCCTTGCCCAAGAAAAGTCGATGTTGACCAAAGAACACTCAATATTATCCAAAGAAGGGTCAAAGCTGGCAGCTGAAGGAGAAACAGCAATTCGGGCACGGGATACGGCGTTGGCAGCCTTAGAGGCAGAGCGCATTGCACATAAAGAGGCCGCTCAGCGCAACAACCACGAAATAGAGCAACTTCGCACAGAAGTGTCCGTCCGTACGCGTGAGGCACAACATCAGCGCTTTCTAGCACAAGCAGAGATTGAGGAACTGTTGGGGAGAGCAAACGGAGCTGAGCTCAAAGCTGCCGCACTAGAACGCACGCTGGCTGAGCAACGACATGAAGCCCAGCAATTGCTGGAACGGGCCGCCGAGAAAAATAATGCTCAAGAGGCTGAGGTCTCTCGTCTTCGTACCCAGTTACAACAGCTTTCCACCGGCCAGCAACAGGAGCTCGCCCATCTTTCTGCAGAGCTTGAAGAAGAGCGTTCTCAACGCGCGCGAACGATCGAAGAGGCGGTTAATTCACATCCAAATGTTCGACGCCAACTGAGGACTCTAGAGATAGAGCTTCAGCGCACAAGTGGCGAGTTGGACTTCACGCGGGCACAGCTGGACCGTACTCGTACAGAGCTGCAACAGACCATTCTGGCGCATCAGCAAGAACTTACCAACGAAAAAGAAACATTGCGATCTGAGAGAGACGCCCTTCGAATGGCACAAGAATCTTTACGTGCAGAACGAGAGGTGATATGTATCCAGCGTGATGCATTTACTTCAGACAAAAGTTGCGATCGCAATCTTCTTGAGAAGCAACTTAGTGAAGCCACTCGCGCACTTGGTGATGCAGCTCGTTCTTACGCGCAAAGCGAAAGGGTTCGCGAGGAGGCATTGCGTGAACGTCGTATCGCTGAGGCTGAGGTCCAGCGTCTTAGTTCCGAATTGCACGCCATTCGTGAAGAAGCGTCGCATTTTCTGGGTGCATATTCGCGTGAGCGCTCTACAGAAAGCGCAGCTACGGCCGCCTTGACTGCTGAGCGCGACTCATTACGCGAAGAGCTTCAGGCGCTGCGCCACAGGACAGAGGCAGAAACCGCTTCATTGACTCGCTTCAAGGCAGAAACGGAAGCCGAACGTGCAAGATTGCAGAGCGGTTTTTCTGCTCAGTTGACACGATCCATGGAAAAGCTGCGCGATTGTGAACTGGAGCTTTTGCGTGAGCGCGCGACTATTGAACGCTATGAGCGTACCATGGCCCAGGAACGCGAGCGTTTCGCCGCAGAATTACGCGCACTCCGTGCTGCCCTGGATTCCCAAGCTAAAAGTGGTGAGGATCGCCACAATCCAGCTGCTGATCACAATGGTACCACGGACTCCAGTCTTGGACCCGTCATTGATGCCATAGTTGCGGGGCTCTCACAGCGCCTGGGTGGTACCGCCATTCATGGAGAGACGGCTGTAAGCGCTGGAACTGCGGCTCACCTTGATCACTTACAGGTAGGGATTGGGATCGGCTCATTTTTAGGAAGCGCTTAAACTTGTGCGTAGCGAGAACCTCGAGCTAATGGAGCGACTCCGCGCAGCAGACCTTGCGCTCGCAGACCAGCGCATGGTGGCCAATCGTGAGCACGTCCAACTTGAAGAACTGATACTGGAGAAGCAACGGTTACAAGCACAATTTGAAGCCCAAAAAAGCCTTCAAGTAGACCCGCCAAAACATGCATCGAATTCGCAGCTGGAGATGCAACTAGAGGCTGCCGATGCTCGTATACAGACTCTTTCACTCAAGGTGAGTCTTTTTTTTCATCTCTAGGTCGAGCAGCAAACGCGCACTATTCAGAGGCGAGAAGACCTTATTCGCAAAGCTATTTCCCGCATCGAACGGTTGCAGGCAAAACGGGAAGCTTTGGCGCACCAACTTGCGCTCTTTTTTAAAGGGGCACCAATAAAGTCATTGGGGGCCCGCCGAAACCAGCATACCATCCCTCGTGAAGGCCATTCATTTTTAGCTCGTGAGGGTCGTTCCTTTGCCACTCTGGCACAGGGTGCCCTCGCCCGCAGCCGCCGTCTCTAGAGCCTCAATAAATGGCGCTTTGTATTTACAAGTTTTATTTGCCTGGTTGCTGATATTCGTCCCATTAGATGAGAGTATTCGCAATTGTAACCTGCTATCTTAACCCTAATTTACCGACATCGACCCACGGCCAGTCATAAAATCTGCAGTACGAATTAAAATAGCCACAAACCCTAGCTGAGATTAAATGATTGCCACTGACGAGAGCGCGCCACGATCCCGATTTGCGCGCGTGACAAATCGGCTGCTTGTCCGCAGCACCATAGTTCAGCAGAAAACATGGGCTTACAGACCGTATCTTTCGTTTCGTCTTTTCTTGCTATTGACTTTTGGTGCTGCAGCATCGCTGCTCATACCTGCTATTTTGCTCTGGATAGAACAGTCTATGGTACTACTTTGTAGTAATTTCAGGTTTTCGAGGCAGAGCTTCGGTATACAGGATGCGGGAGCAGCTCTGAGGCTCCGGCTCCCGGAACATCACGATGCCCGACATGCAAGCTGCAGTTGCCGCTGCCGCAGGACCACCGCCGCCTCTTTCTTTATTATCGGCTAACAAACTACTACCAAAGCTCGGTACAATACGTCACCAGTATTGATCGCTCCCAGCTTCAAGGCGCTGCCCTGGGTGTCTCCGATCTTGGTGACTGCAGCCCAATAATCAAGGAAGGTAGCGTTCCATTTTATCCTTGCGGACTGATTTCGGACTCGCGCTTCAATGACACATTTGCTGCCGATGGTCTCCCGACTGGGGTCTCTTTCACTCAAAGTGGTATTGCCTGGCCATCGGATGTAGATGCGCTCTACAGAGCCACGGCATATGGAGCAAATGCTACCCTCCCACCGCCCTCCTGGGCTCAGGCTCAAGGTAATTTATGGCCGCCATCGCCAGATTGGATCACTGGCGATGAGCATCTGATGAATTGGATGCGTGTCTCTGCATTTCCAACTTTTCTCAAGCTTTATGGGATCATCAACGGACTTGGTGGGGATAACAGTAACCCATCCGAATTGACGCTTCTCGTTTCAGACTGCTTCCCGATTGGTAGCGCTTTTGGCGGTACAAAATCGATTTTCATCTCGTCGCAGTCGTTTTTTATCGGCGGAAAGATTTTGGCATTACCTATAATTTTTACCGCTTCTGGGACGGTTCTTCTTCTGACAGCCCTCATTATTCTGCTGCTTCATAAAAAGCGAAATCGCATGGCGACCGAGTTCGATGCATACCCCGGGGCCGCCGCAGAAACGGAAATGTTTCAAATGCTCCAGCGCATGCAAGAAGAGTCGATGTAAAGCAACACCCTGTACAGTATGAATGAATGTCAAAAGTAAACGTCCAGTGTTATTTATTGGCTGGAGAGTTGTTATCTATACGCCTTGTCAGTCAGGCCTCGCCTGGATCTCCGCCGAGTAAAGCGGCAACATGCTGATACTCGGCTTGGCCAAGTTCCCTGACGAGCTGGGTGAAAAGAGAGTCTGGATTTTTAAACAGCGAGCGAGGCGTGTCCAGTTCCGCAATGAACCCATCTTGCAGCACCATGATCCGATCGTAATCCAGGATGGAGAGCAGCCGATGTGCAATTGTGATCACGGTAACAGGATGCTCAATGATATCAAATGGAGAAAGGTTAGGGTTCGATTGGTCTATGCGTGCCAAAGTTGGAACCGAAACACGGCGGATGGTCTCCTGGATGAGCGTATCGAGAGCCTTGTCAACATTGGAGGTTGCCTCATCCAGCACCAAAATGCGCGAGTTTTTAAGTAGTGCCCGGGTAAGGCAAAGTAACTGAGACTGTCCCTGCGATAGCATTGCCGAGCCCTCTCTGAGTATGGTGTCCAGACTGGGTGGCACCAGTGTTGCTCGCAAATGAGGACCAATGGCACATGCCTCTAGCATCGCCCATATCCGTTCATCGGAATAGCAGTTTAGTGGATCGAGATTGAAACGCAAGGTGCGTCCATAGAAGATCACCGGATCTTGGGGAATAATGGCTAAGCGTTGGCGAATCATGGAGCCTGGAATGCACGAGATGTCAACGTTATCAATCTTAATACAGCCTTCCGAAACCGGTATTAGTCCAAAGAGGGCCTGCACTAGTGTACTTTTTCCAGACCCTGTGCGGCCGATGATGGCCAGGCGTTCGCCAGGCCTCACTTCAAAGTTAATGTCACAAAGCACAGGACGTCCGCCGTCCGGAAGATATGAGAGCGTGACATTTGAAAACTCAACGGCGCCTTCATATGGCCAGTGATCATTTTGAAACAGCGGGGATGAATGTGGCTGAACGGCATTTTTATGAAGGACAAATGAAGTGGCCCCGAAGGATAAACCTGGGGGCAAGGTGGTTGGAAGTGGATATGATGGCATCTCTTTGACGGAAGCTCTAGATTCATCCCCAAGCTCATAGAGACGTCTGAAACTGCACAGGGCGATTTCGAGATCGGCAAATGAAACTATAGAAGTGTATAATGACTTGGCCAGCATCATCAATTGATGTATGACAAGACCGGCTAGGGCGGGTGAAATACCTTCATATACACAGAAAAACGTCGTTGCAGCCACGCTTAAATTTGCTACAAGCTCAAAGCGGAGTGACGCCCACGACCTCAACGAGGCCAAAAGAAGCGTCGGCGCAACTAGCCAGTCACTTGCAGCAAAATTTTTCTCCATGAAAAGCTCCTGTACGGATGGCAAACCCATATTGAGCGGCATAATTACTTTTGGACACATCAAGGCTTGTATGTCTAGTTGATTGTCCTTGCTTGGGAAACTTCGGGAACGGATGAGCGGGAGACCGCCCAAAGTATCTCGAACCTGCCCCAAATATGCTGAACGGGCATGCGAGCACAGGCGCTCCAAGTCCAGCATTGGTCGGTGGTAGAGACGCAAAAGCGTCCAGTTAGCCAGCAACAAAAAGACAGGCAGAAAAAACGCCATCCATGGAGACATGGTAAATGCCACCAATACCAGAACAGAAAACACAGCGCAAGCCTTTCCTAAAAGATCACGCCCCGCATCGAGGATGTCAAAATCTGAACATTCAGTATCTTTGGTAAGCCGGTTCATCAAAAACCCGAATGGGAATTTGTCGATGAACGCGAGAGGAGTCATCATAAGAATGCCTGAAAAAGCGTCGCGGTATGTGGAACGAGCCGCATTCCAAGCACCTACTGACACCAAAAGGGTAAAGAAAGCTGTTGAAGTGACAAAGGCAAATGCCATCGCCCAGATCATCCATCTATCCTTAAGACTGCTTTCGCCAATCTGAGCAAGCATTCTCTCTGTGGAAATTCTGGAGAAATTTACCAGCACTAAGAAGAAAAGGGTCAATACAAATAGAACCCATCCAAAACGATCGAGAAAGCGTACATAAATTGACAGGGGAAGTGAACTAATAGAGGGAATTTTCTCTTCGTCAAATTCACTTTTATCTTCTTTTAGGGGGAAACGGTGCCCTTTTCGTGGGCCTTCTTCAAAGGTTTCAAGCTCTCGGAGCTCATCAGCAAAAATGGACTCCGTTTCTTGGATTGGGGCCTCCATGAAGGGTTCTTTAGGTGTTTCCGGGTCTTGCGGCCGGCAAGTAATCGACTCAAGAGAGTGGATTGTTTTCATCGAGCTGATTGCGAATGATGTATGCGGGCAATCGGTTGAAATTCTTGCTGTATTTCCCGCTTGAGGCTGCTGGATATTTTCGTTGGCCAAAAGTAAAGGAATTCTATTGGGCATCCTCTCTGCATGAGAAGCGAACCATTCTTCTGGCGGACCCTGCCACTTGATGCGCCCTTTATCCATGCAGACGATCCAGTCACAGCTATCCGGCCTAATTAGGTGAAGCGCATGCGTAGAAATTATCTTTGTCTTCCCATTATTAAGCGTGGAGCTCTTAACAATGGCATTTTCCCAGACAATTTTGGCCACTTTAGCGTCCAGTGCAGAGACGGGATCATCCAGTAGCAAGATCTCTGCATTTGAATATAGAGCCCTTGCAAGTGAAATCCTTTGCCGCTGACCGCCAGAAAGGGCAGATGTGGCCCCTCCAATCTCAACCAGGTCTCCCAATGGAAAGCTTTTAATGTCTTCGCGAAGCTGGCAAGCTGATAGGATGGCCCCGTAACGAGAGGAGTTGAATTTACACCCAAAAAGAATATTTTCTCTCAGAGAGCCATGGCTAATCCAGGGTTGCTGCGGAGAATATCCGAAAGTATTGCGGTCCATCAGTGATGGAGATATGTGAAGGCTTCCGCTGACAATGTTAATTTCGCCCAAAATAGCCTGAAGAAGAGATGATTTTCCAGAGCCAACAGGCCCAATCAGGATGACCGTGGCGCCAGTTGGAATTGAAAGTGTAATATCCCTCAACGAGGAGAGCGATTTCATAATTTTAGTGGAAATAAAAGGCTTTGAAGACTCTTCATTTTTGACGCCACTCCAAGATGCCCAAAAATCTTTCAGCTCAATGGCTGTATCCATCTCTATTGGACCCATTGATGATGGGTGAAGCTCCTCCGAGCGTAGAAGCTCGGAGATTCGTTTTAAAGAAATTTTAGCATCAATCAGCCTGCTTAAAAACGGCGGAAATGTGCCCATCGCTGACCGAAGCTGACTAAACATCGAAATAGCGGCGAAAATGGTTGATGTCGATAGCGTTGAAGCTGTCGGTGCGAGAAAAAGTGCCATTGCAAAAGCAACCAAAGATGCCATGATTGGCGTCGCATTCATGAGTGTAGTCAGCATGGCAATCAGTGAGTGTAGTGCCAGTTGTTCCGAAAGTTCTTTTGCGCGAAGGTCGTCTGCATATTTGCAGAAGGCATCCTCCCAGTCGTTAAGGACAACGACGCGGATACCTGTCAGCATCTGATCGACGAACCTGACTCTGCAATCAGTGGCGGAGATTGCTTGGATTCTCTTCTTTGCAAGCCGCTGGACAATTAAATATTGGATAGGAACACTGCCGATCATCATGGCAAGTCCGGCACCAGCCGCTGGACCCAGTATCCAAAACAAAAGCCCAGAAATGATGAGTATTTGAAGCGGACCTAACCAAGCCACATGAATATGATCAACAGCAACATCAATTCGACTGACATCGCTAGTGATGAGGGTGAATATCCGCCCATTGGTATGGGAAGATCTGGTATGTGGGGCAAGCCGGAAAATCTTGCGATAAATTGCTGCGCTAAGCGCAGCTTGCACAGAAGTTCCGGTGTACCTCAATATTTCTGCCGAGCGTTTGCTCGAATACGAGCTGAAAGAGGAAAGGATGAAAATAGAAACGCCCAAAGCATAAGCCAAATGGCGAGAATCGATGGAAAAAGCCAAAACTACAAATTGAGTATTTCCGCTGAGCGCATTTAAAAAGTAAAAAAGCAGCAATGGAATAATTAACAAAGAAACTTCTGAGATGGCTTTGAAAATGCCACTGAAAACCAAATCTCGGTACACCATTTTACCGAGACAAATGAAAATATATTTAGCCGAAATAACCGAATCGTCTTGAAAGCCTTTTGTAGGCATAGTTTCACCTAAAGGGACTTTCACCGGCTGAAATCGGGACTTTTGGAGCCTCAACCAGGAATCTTTCGAAGTAAATGGATGAGGAATGTCCCCTATGTCGGATTCCAAAAGATTGCGGTTAATTTTGCTCAGAGGAAGCACCGCCTTTTCCTTTTTGTTGCGCAGGGCCTGTTTTTTGTACAGCCTCCTTCTATCTAGACTGATGACCAGCAGAGGTTTTAGCCAGGAGTAATGGAATTGAGACCATAGACTTGCATTCTTCCTCTGGACCAAAGGTCCCCGCAAGGCCTCCGATTTGTCTTTGGGAAAATCTTTTGCCATTCAACAAAAAAATTTCGATTTGCCAATCGGTAGCTTGTTATCTAATTCGGCATAATAAGCATTGGTTCAGCCAATAAAATAGCTTAAATTTTAATTAAATTTGGCATATTAGTCAGATGAACGATTAAGGGCAATTTTTCTTTGAAGCTCTCCAATGATAACTGTAAAATTTACAAAAATATTAATACCCGAGTGCATGTCTTGCTTGGCAGACAAATTCTGGATGATCGAATTTAGCTGTTCTTGTAAAAAGGACTCCTTGCGTTTATAAAACTCTTTGGCTGAAGAGATGGACTAAAGCTGGGAGGATACAGCAAAAAATACCTTTTCGACATAATAGCCGGCACCAATATCTACGGTGGCCCTGCTGATGTCGGAAAGGTTTCCAGGGACATAAACAGAGCTGGAAAGTGGGACAAGGATTTCCCCGCCCTGTGCTTCCGAACCAAGCTCATCCAAGCTCTGTCTGCAGGAGGCAAATCTATCAAGGGCGATTTTTAGACTATCATACGAGGCTTGAAATAGATCCACTTCCTAAAATGAGAGGCAGAAAAAACCTTTTCCAGTTGCTCCCGAAGCTGGTTAAGCTGTGCTGGTAATAGCTGAGATATCGAAACCGGGGAAGCTGATCCAGGCGGACCAGAAACCTTGGGGGATGACATAAACTTTGTAAAATAGTTTCCCGAATCATTAAACTTGAGTGCCAATTAAATTTTGCCTCAAATCCAACCGAACCGAGCCAGAGTAAACCAAAACGAAACGAAAAGGGATTTATTTATCACAGGTAATCATGGCCTGAATACGGGGAATGGCTTTTGCAAGAGCATTAAATTGATCGAGGCTCAAGGAAATACCTAACATTGAAGATATGCCAATACCCTTCCTTCCTGGCTTGGTCTCTCCAAGAGAGTCTGAGTAGTATTCACGGATATCTACTTGAGGCTTTCCCTTCCAGGAGCGCAGGGAGATCCGTCTTTGTGGGGAGATCTTAAATAAACGAATACTGTTACTTCGACATAAAAAGAGCCATCTTCGTCCTTTTTTACCTAAAAGGGAAATAGAATTGAAAATACCATTTCGTCTGCACAATTCAGTTTATTAGAAGAAGTGACGATGTTTTGGGGACAATCCTCTTGGATATCTTTTTCCGCTGCCTGGACATGCTTTTCGGCGGCTTGGACTTGTGTATCCCCAGACGGGCAATGTCGCTTCATATTTAAAAATAGAAAATTTTTATTGAAATTTTTATTTATCCACCGATGGGTCCGTGTGAACCTACTGGCACAATCGGACCCAATTCAACGCTTTCCCAGCACGCAAATTTTGTTGCAAACTCGCTCCATCGATTCGCAGTTCTGACAGAGAAATATTTGGACGTCTTAACCTCACCCACTCCCCCCAATCATGACGGCGATACCGAGTTCAAGGTGATTCTTGAAGAATTGGTTTCCTTGGACCAAAGCATTTCAGAAAAAATCGACGAGCGTAAGGATAACCTCATATCTAATGGGTAGTCAATTCCTTCCTGGCAACCAATGACCGGATTTCTGCAATCTCATTCGACCTGGATCTGATTTCCTCAAAAATCCTATCAATCGAGTCCTTTGTGTTTGAAATGGAAGAGGAGTTTCAAAAGACATTATTTGTCGATGTAGGCAGGTGAGCATCGCCTCGCCTCGCCTCACATCACCTCACATCATATCATATCACATCGATTGCATCACAAAGCATTTGCTGCACAAATCTGTGAAATTTAAGCCTTTAAATTTTGCGATTGCCAAATTGTAATTTGGTCGCCATTTAATTGGCACTGAATCGTCGTTGGCCATGGCAATGATAATAAATTGCATGCTAGCGAAATGTACACATTTAGAAACAACTCTAAATTGGCGAATCCACATTTTAAAATGATGCCCATTTTGCTTTTAATTTAAAAATCGTACCCAGTCCCCCTATTGATTGCAATGCAAATTACTTTGCACTTTCCCTCCAAAATCCGGCATATAAGATGGTGCATTAATCACTATTTTCTAGCAAGTGATCATCTCGGCTCGTTTTCCCACCCTTTTGGTATGGCGCTTTTCTTACCGCTTAGACTGATAACATATGCGCGAAATTGTTCATATCCAAACCGGCCAGTGCGGAAATCAAATTGGCGCCAAATTTTGGGAAGTGATCTCCGACGAACACGGAATTGACCCCTCTGGCGCATATGTTGGGGACTCTCCAATCCAGCTAGACAGAATCGATGTGTATTATAATGAAGCCAATGGCAAAAAGTATGTTCCGCGAGCGGTGCTTGTTGACCTTGAGCCAGGGACAATGGATTCTGTCCGTGCTGGTCCTCTTGGACGGCTCTTTCGGCCCGATAATTTTGTGTTCGGACAAAGCGGAGCGGGAAACAACTGGGCTAAGGGGCATTACACCGAAGGTGCCGAGCTCGTTGACTCGGTTTTGGATGTTGTGAGAAAAGAAGCCGAGTCTTGCGATTGTCTGCAAGGGTTCCAAATCACACATTCCATTGGAGGCGGAACCGGCTCTGGTCTTGGAACCCTTCTTATCTCCAAAATCAGAGAGGAATTTCCAGACCGAATGATGTGCACCTTTTCTGTCGTTCCCTCACCAAAGGTACGTTGACTGATGATTAATTTTTTGGTGTCCGATGCGATTGTTGAGCCATACAATGCCACTCTTTCGGTCCATCAGCTTGTCGAAAACTCGGACGAAACTTTCTGCATCGATAACGAGGCTTTGTATGATATTTGCACCAGAACCCTCAAATTGAATACCCCCTCCTACGGCGATTTGAATCATTTGGTCTCGGTGGTGATGTCTGGCGTTACCACTTGTCTGCGATTTCCAGGGCAGCTCAATGCAGACTTGAGGAAGTTGGCCGTTAATATGATACCATTCCCACGTCTGCACTTCTTCATGGTTGGCTTTGCCCCGCTTACTGCCAGGGGCGCAATGCAATATCGTGCCTCTTCTGTTTCAGAACTGACGCAGCAGATGTTTGAATCGAAAAACATGATGGCTGCTTCTGATCCGCGTCACGGCCGATATTTGGCCGTCGCCGCAATGTTCCGAGGCCGTGTGTCGATGAAGGAAGTAGACGACCATATGTTCAATATCCAAAATAAGAACTCCTCTTATTTCGTTGAATGGATCCCAAATAATGTCAAGACGGCCGTTTGTGATGTGCCGCCCAGAGGCCTAAAAATGTCGGTAACGTTCATCGGAAATTCTACCGCCATTCAGGAGCTTTTCAAACGCATTTCTGAGCAGTTTACAGCCATGTTCCGTCGCAAGGCATTTGTTCACTGGTACACCAGTGAGGGCATGGATGAAATGGAGTTTACTGAAGCAGAGTCCAATATGAATGACCTTGTCTCCGAGTATCAGCAATATCAAGATGCCACTGCTGATGATGACATGCTAGGGTATCAGGAAGGTCAGATGGAGGAGGCTGATTAGCCCAAATTGTGTCTCAACTATCATGATTGTCTAATAAATATTCAAAATTGCCCCGTTAAAGAGGGTCCACTTTAACTGCAAAATTATCAAAATGCCCTTTTACGGATTTTTTTCTTCTTTCGCAGTTTAATGTCATTGGTACCAAAACGCTCTCGCTTGTTGAGTGCGGTTGTTAAGGCTTTTTCTAAAATCTCGCCCCTCTCTCTTGCCGAGAATGACTGGGATAATGTCGGTGTTCTGATCGAGTGTCACGAGAAATGGAATATCAGACCATTGGACGTCACAGCCGCTCAAAAATCGACAATTCTTTTGACCATCGATTTGAATCACGAAATTATTGATGAGGCTCTGCACCATCAATCCAGTGGTACGCATCCGGTTGTCATTGTTGCCTACCATCCAACAATTTTCAAGCCCATCAAGAAACTGACTCTCGATTCCCTTGAAGGCGGATATTCGCACATCAACGAGCTCGTTGTCCGTTGCATACAATCCGGGCTTTCAGTATTTTCCCCACACACGGCGCTTGACAATTGCCACGCAGGGAGTACAATTTGGTCCTTATTTTATAGTTAATGACTGGATTTGTTCGTTGATTGGCAACGGGACTTTTGCTCCAATAATTCCGAATCCATCACCACAGGCAACCGTGCAGGGTGACATAGTTGGATCTGGCCGATATTTGACGCTAGCTGAGCCGAGTCCTCTTGAAGAGATTGCAGACCGTCTTATGAAGGGGTTTGCAACAACATATGGTGAGATTTGCACCAACTAAGGTCAATTAGCTCGGATTGCAAAGAGCGCCAAATATTCTTGCCAACAAAAGCCGATTTCGAAGCTCGCTGTTTGTGCTGGATCCGGTTTGTTTGTAGCAAATAACCCTGCATAGGCGGGTCTATTCTTCTTTCACCAAAGCTCAACAGCGATACCGAGCTTCTCATAACTGGGGAGATGAGCCATCACGACGTTTTAGCTGCAACTGCCAAGGGATACAATGTAATGCTTTTTGAGCACACGCATACAGAAAGGGGCTATTTATCGCAAATGCTGAAGCCTAAACTTGAAAGTGCATTGAGCGAGGAAGTTGATATTCAAATTTTCGTGTCAAAATATGACAGGGATCCAATCCAACTTTATAAAATTAAAAATTAGCTCTCCCATAAGCAAAAAAATTTGCATGACAGATGCTATAAATAGATTTTCAAGCATTTGATGTTGTGTTCTCTTATGAGACACATAAACTAAAATTGGAAAAATACAGAGAAGATTAGCATGGCCCCTGCGCAAGGATGACACGCAAAACTTGAGATGGATCAGAGGCTTGCCTCTGGCAATTTTTTCGCACATGTGCGGCGCTTTATTATTATAAAGCAGCTACATGGTGACAAGCGGGGGCCGCATTTGTTATTCCATGTTAAAAGTGGCACACAATCGTGATGATATTGGGTGAAATGGCGATTTATAAATCCTCTAAACTTTAGCGTCTTGGAAAGCCTGCTCAACGAGCTTTTCCTCCTCCACGATATGGGTATGCTTTAAACCTGTAGAGACGGCTGCAGATGGATGTCTTGCAACAACTTTGAGAGCTGTCCTGCATTTTGTGTCTGGATGGGCCAAAACGGTTTCCAATCTAGGCTCAACATAGCTCCAAAAGCCCATATTCAGCGGCTCCTCTTGTACCCACATGACACTTTCGAGTTTCTTTCCATAAGCATTGATTTGGTCCTGGATATCATGATATGGAAATGGCGAAATTTCCTCAACTCGAGCAATGGCCACATGCTTAATTTTCAGATCAGCTCTTGCCTTTTCTAGTAAATAGAATACTTGTCCCGAGCAAAATATAAGTTTTTTAACCGATGCAGGAGATTTTTCTGCTTCAAGGTCACCGATTACCTTCCTGAGGCAGGTGTTTGGCCCCAGCTCCTCTAGGGTGGCTCTGGCGGCAGGATGTCTAAGAAGTGACTTGCTCGTGAAAACGATCAGAGGCTTCCTGAATTCCCTGACCTGTTGGCGCCTAATGGCATGAAAATATGTTGCAGGCGATGAGGGCACGACTACTTGAATGTTACAGTCCTGGTGTTGACGGTTTTTGGCTCTTGGCGGGAAAAACGAGGGCAAATCATCACAAAGCTGCAAAAATCGCTCTGGGCGGGCGCTCGAGTGTTCGGGTCCATTTCCATCATATCCGTGGGGCAAAAGCAAAACAAGGCCTGAGCGTTGATGCCACTTTCGTTCCCCAGAAACGATGAACTGATCTATGATGCATTGGGCATTGTTGGCAAAATCTCCAAACTGAGCTTCCCAAAGCACAAGAGTTCGGGGAGACACTAGCGAATATCCAAGCTCAAAGCCCATAACGGCATACTCTGAAAGATGCGAATTGCTTATTGAAAAGGAGCCTTGAGTGGTTGGATCTAACACGCCCAATGGAGTGTACTTGTTGTCCGTATTTTGGTCGTGAAGAACTGCGTGTCGTTGCGAAAACGTTCCTCTTTCAACATCTTGCCCAGAGAGCCTTACGTTAAAGCCCTCCAGGAGAAGAGACCCAAAGGCCAAAGCTTCTGCAGTGGGCATATCAATTCCAGAGCCTGATTGTATGGCGAGTTTTCTGGTTTGAAGAATTTTAACCAATCCCTTGTGAATTGTGAACCCATCTGGATAGCTAGAAACCGAATTTCCCACCATACCAAGTCTATCCAGTGAAGCTCCGGTCATCGGATCCGGAATATACTCTTCAGCAAGTTCCTTTGGCGATTTAAAGCCCAGCCACGACGAAGAAAGCCATTCGTTAACTTTTGGGATATAATTTTTTGCCTGGTCAAATGAATTTTCAAGGTTGGACCAAATGGAGGCTTTAAGGGCATCTGTAGTTGACTTTTCAAAAAAAGGGAGCGCAGAATATTGATCTGCAGCGCGCTTTTTCTTGGAAATCGATTGATACATTTTGGGTTGCGTAAAAGAAGGCTCATCAAATTCATTGTGACCATATCTGCGATACCCAACAATGTCAATGACGATGTCTTTTTTCCAAGCACTTCTGTATTCAGCTGCAAAAGTACAGGCGAACACGACTGCCTCGACGTCATCCGCGTTCACATGCAGAATGGGGGCCGATATGCACTTGGAGATATCTGTGCAGTAAGGTGTTGAGCGCGAAAGTGTTGGATCCGTTGTAAACCCAATTTGGTTGTTAACGACTAAATGAACGGTGCCTCCCGTTTGGTATGAAGGCAAGCCGG